ATGAGCCACCACACCCAGCCAATATGACTGATTTAAGGCTGCACAAAACAGAGAATTCTCCATTGTTTTTGGTCCAGTGTGGTGCATGGGCCAGCCCCAGTTCCCATCTTTCTAAAGAAACTCAAGAAAAGTTTGCTATGTAGTGTCTAGAGTCAGCTTCTTGTTAAGTGATCCTAGCTAGAGAAGGTCTTTCTGCTTTAGTCCAAGATGGGGAAAAGTGGTGTCTTAAAGGTCCATTGCCTTCTCACATCCACTGAGCATCGGCTTTAGGCAACTAACTCACATGGAATAGCTGCACGCACACCTCAGCTTCTGGACAAGAAGACACACTACATGCATATATTCTTATTTAAATATGTGTTAAATATTTATCCCCATCCCAAATTATATTTCTGTTGGGCTCAAAATGAGCAAGAAGAAGAGAAAGAGCAACATGAACAAATGATTTGGAAAAATTTAGGAACATTTAGAAAATATTTAAAGGCTGAGACCATGCCAAGTTCATTCATCTTTAAATCCTGATTTCATATGTAGTGGCACTGTATTCTTGGCATCCATTCCCAGTTCTTCTTTTTCAATAGTACTCATTTTCCATTGTAGATGATGTTGTTTCAGAGATGACTACAATCCCAGTTCCAGGGATGACACACCCAACCTGGGCTAAGCCGATTATTGTATTCCTTCTTCTGGTCCTAGTATTGGCTCAAAAGTGTGTGTGTGGCCCAAAGTGGCCCAATCACAATAAATCTCTGAATATTGCTGGGAATTATAAGCCAATAAACTCTTTCTGGGAGCTGTTAGCAGCTATTTTGGGATAAGTAGGGGATGATGCAGAAACCACAGAAAGCAGAGCAGAGAAACAGATGGCAAGGAAACAGGTTCCACATTTGACATGTTGAGCCACTGGATGACACCCAGCCAGAAGCCAGCCCCATTTCTGCACTTTTCAGTTACATGACTCCAAACATTTTCTTTATCTTCAAGCTATTTTGAGTCATGTTTATTTTTATATGCCACTGAAAGCATCCTTACTAATATCTTGTAATGGTGCCTGCCATGTAGTAGGTACTCAATAAGTATTTGTAAAATCAGTAAATTATTGAAAAATCATACCACATTGAAACTTTAACAAAGAATGAAAATATCTTTGTTATTTCTATACTTCAGCAAGCACTAAAACTAGGAAACTAGAATATCAAAAGTAGAGGAAGTCATCAATTTATATGAAGTGTTCTAGTAGTAGGTTCAAATATGTCTATACAGCTTCTTCCGGATAAAAACCCGGCAACCTTTTAACCCAGAAGGATGTAACATATGGATATAAATGCCCTGACCACCCTATCAAAAGTTACAGCCTCTGCTGCAACACTCTCTAACACCTTTCTTTTTTTTTCACACATAATAAGTATTGCCATCTAACATATCAGATATTTTCTTTTACTTATTTTACTCATGTATGCATAAGTGTAAGCTCCAGGTGTTGGGAATTTTGATCTTTTTTATTAAGTGCTGTATCCTCAACACGTAGAACAGTGCCTAACATGTAACAAGCACTTTAAAAGAGTTGACAGATGAATAAATAAATTATAACCTTCCTTTGCAATCAGCAATAAAGACAGATCACACACAAATAATCATTTAGAATAATAAAGGGTCTTCTCTTTCAGGTTAGCTAAGGGAGTTTACTGAGGACCCAGAGACATCTTAGATCTAAGCTTCGGGAGCTCCCATTTCACTAAAGATTAGATGGGAAACATCAACTTCATTTTGTTTAAACCAGAGAGAGAGATGCAGTTGGTCAAGACACCTCTGTGTCCTCTCATCCATATTGTTGTCATTCTCATCTCTGACAGGCTCTGATTTGAGGATCCTTGGAGTCAATCTCAGTGAATCTTAAAAAAAAAAAAAATAATAAGGTTCCAGGGTAGTAAATCAAACACAGGTGAGGCCAGAATACCAACAATTGCATTTAGCTCTAGGAGTAGACAATGAATTTAATTCAGCAGCCATTCTTTTTCAAAATAATCAAGCATTAGAGCAAAATTTAAGGAAGGGTTTGAGGAAATACTTTTTATCAGAATCATATAAAGTAGTTTAGGTCCAAATGTGAGTGTATAATTTGTCAAATACATTTATATCACAAGTGTAGTCACAATAGCCTTCCAAGAAATCCTTTGATTTTCTAAACCAAACAAGAAGACACATTTCAAAGCATTACAGGAATTCAGTGTTGGATTTATTTTGTTCTAGACGTTTCTAAGCTTTTCCAAAATTAGTGGCATTCTTGTTTCTATAGAAACTAATGCACTTTAAAGGGAAAAGCGGAAGAAAACTTATGGCCAAAAGTGAACAAAATGAGAAAGCTTTGTGATAGAAATCAAATTCATGAGGGAAAAGTTTGTCAGAGTTTTCCCTTAATTTAAGTACTTTGGATTGGAGAAAAATATCTTCAAGGAGTAGCTCATGAAGTTTGTCTTATATTAATAATTATGAGTTATTTTTTTTCTTAATCTTTAAGTACCAGATCATTCTGGAAACTGGAAGGAATCAGGTGAAACGGAAAAGATGACCCATTAATTAAACAGTGATATGCATTTACTTAAAAAATTGACATAAAGTTGTGTGTTTTTATCATGTACAACATGATGTTTTGAAGTATATATATAGCTGGGTTCTGTGGCTTGTAATCTCAGCACTTCAGGAGGCTTAGGTGGGAGGATCACTTCAGTATAGGAGTTCAAGGCTAACATAGTGAGACTCCCATCTATAAAAAAAGAAAAAAAGGAAGTATATATACATTGTGAAATAGTTAGATCTAGTTAGTGAACAAATGAATAACCTCACATAATTATTTTTGTTGTGAGAACACTTAACACTCACTATCATTAGCATTTTTCAAGAAGAAAATATGTCATCATTAACTATAGTCACCAAGCTCTACAATAGATCTCTTGAGCTCTTTCTTTCCTTTTCTTCTTTCTTTTTCTTTCTTTCTCTCTCTTTCTTTCTCTTTCCCTCTTTCTCTCTCTTCCTCTTTCTCTCTCTCTCTCTCTCTCTCTCTCCCTCTCTCTCTCTCTCTCTCTCTCTCTCCCTCTCTTCTCTTTTCTTTCTTTTTTTCATCAGGGTCTGGCTCTGTCCCCCAGGCTGAAGTACAGTGGCTCAATCACAGCTCACTGTAATCTTGACCTCCTGTACTCAAATGATCCTCCCACCTCAGGCTCTTGAATAGCTAAAACTACAGGCAGGCAGCACTATCCCTGGCTAGTTTTCTTTAAAAATTTTTTTTTGTAGAGACAGGGTTTTGCCATGTTGCCCTGGCTTGTCTTGAATTCCTGGGTTCGAGCAACCTGCCTGCCTCAGCCTCCCAAGGTGCTAAGATTACAGGCATGAGCCACCACATCTGGACTTATTCACCCTTTCTTACTCATCTATTCTTTGACCAACACCTCCCAATCCCCCACTTCCCTCTAACCATCGCAGCCTCTGGTAACCGTCATTCTACTCTCTACTTCTTCTTTTCTTCTTCTTTTTTTTTTTTTTTTTTGAGACGGAGTCTTGCTATGTCACCCAGGCTGGAGTGCAGTGGTGCAATCTCTGTTCACTGTAACCTCCACCTCCCAGGTTCAAGTAATTCTCCTGCCTCAGCCTCCTGAGTAGCTGGGATTACAAGTAAGTGTCACCATGCCAGCTAATTTTTGTATTTTTAGTAGACAGAGTTTCATCATGTTGGTCAGGTTGGTCTTGAACTCCTGAGCTTGTGATCAGCCCACCTTGGCCTCCCAAAGTGCTGGGATTACAAGCATGAGCCACTGCACCTGGCTTCTACTTAATTCTATGGGATCAAGTTTTTAGACTTCACATATTGATGAGAACAGGCAATATTTATATTTCTGAGCCTGGCTTATTTCACTTAATTATGTCTTCCAGGTTCATCCATGTTGTTGCAAATGACAAGATTTCCTTCTCTTTATGGTTGAATAGTGTTCCATTGTTTGTGTGTGTATGTATATATCTATCTATCTATATATCTATATCTATCTATCTATCTATATATATATATATATATATCTATCTATATATATATCTCTCTCTATATATATACACACACCACATTTTCTTTACTTTTTCATCTGTTGATAGACATATCTTGGCTGTTGTTAATGGTGTTGCAGTAAATGTGGGACTGCAGATATATTGATTTGACATACCGATTTCATGTCCATTGGATATATATTTGGTAGTGGGATTACTGAATCATATGGTAGCTCTATTTTTAGCTCTTTGAGGAACTTCCATACCATTTTTCATATGGTTGCACATTCCCACCAACAATGTACAGAGATTCCCTTTTCTTCGCATCCTCTCCAACACTTGTTGTTTTTTGTCTTTTTGCTAAAAGCCCTTCTAACAGGAGTAAGGTGATACCTCATTTTGGTTTTGATTTGCATTTCCCTGATGATTAGTCATGCTGAGCACTTAAAAATGATACCTGTTGGCCATTTGTATATCTTCTTTTGAGAAATGTTTATTTAAGTCTTTTCCTCATTTTTAAATTGGACGATTTGTTTTCTTACTGTTGAGTTGTTTGAATTCCTCATCTATTATGGATATTAACCCCTTATTAGATGTATAATTTGCAAATATTTCCTCCCATTCTGTAGGTTGTCTCTTTACTCTGTTGTTTTCTTTGCTGTGGATAAGCTTTTTAGTTTGATCCAATCCCATTTCTCTATTTTCACTTTTGTTGCGTTTTTGAGCTCATATCCAGAAAATTGCCCAAACCAATGTCATGGAGCTTTTCTTCTATGTTTTCCTCTAGCATTTTTATAAATTGAGGTTTTATGTTTAAGTCCCTTATCTATTCTGAGTTAATGTTTGTATATAGTGAGGAATAAGGGTATAATTTCATTATATGTGGATATTCAGTTTTCTGAACACTACTTATTTTTTTTTTATGGTGAAAAGATATACATATATTTAGAATTAGCCAGCTGGACTGTTTAGATGATCCCAATTTTGTTTGCAACATCCAAAGCATTGTAATCAGGAGCCAGTGGAACATATGCCTTCTTCTCTCCATCAGGCCGAATCAGGGTGTTGACCTTGGCCACATCAATGTCATAGAGCTTCTTCACAGCCTGTTTGATCTGGTGCTTGTTGGCTTTAACATCCACAATGAACACAAGTGTGTTGTTGTCTTCTATCTTCTTCCTGGCAGACTCAGTGGTCAGTGGAAACTTGATGATCGCATAGTGGTCAAGTTTGTTTCTCCTGGGGGCGCTCTTCCGAGGATATTTGGGCTGCCTCCGGAGTCGCAGTGTCTTGGGCCGCCGGAAGGTGGGTGACGTGCGGATCTTCTTTTTTTTGTGGCTGTGGACACCTTTCAACACTGCCTTCTTGGCCTTTAAAGCCTTCGCTTTGGCTTCGGCTTTAGGAGGGGCAGGAGCTTCCTTCTTCGCTTTGGCGCCATCTTGTGAAAAGGGTCCTCTGAACACTACTTATTGAAGACACCGTCCCTTCCCCATTATATGTTCTTGGCACCTTTGTCAAAAATCAATTTGGTATAAATGTTTGGATTTATTTCTAGGATCTCTATTTTGTCCCATTGGTCTCTATGCCTGTTTTTATGCCAGTACTACGTGTTTGGGTTACTGTAGCTCTGTAGTATAATTTGAAGTCGGATAGTGTGATGCCACCAGCTTTGTTCTTTTTGTTCAGGATTATTTTTGGCTATTTGGATTCTTGTGTGAGTCCATATGAATTTTAGGATTTTTCTTCTATTTCTGTGAAGACTGTCATTGCATTGGTATAGGGATTTCATTGAGCCTGTAGATTATTTTGGGTAGTATAGACATTTTAACAGTATTAATTCTTCCAATTCATGAACACAAATGTCTTTCTATTTATTTGTGTATTGTTCAATTTATTTTATCAATGTTTTATAGTTTTCAATGTAAAGGTCTTCACCTATTTGGTTAAATTTAATCCTAAATATTGTTTATTTGTAGCTATCACATATGGGATTGTTGTCTTGATTTCTTTTTCAGATAGTTCACTCAGTATATAGAAACACACGGATTTTATATGTTGATTTTGTATCCTGCAACTTTTCTGAATTTATTAGCTCTAATAGTTATTTTGTTGGAGTCTTTATGGTTTCTAAATATAAGATAATGCCATCTGAAAACACAGACAGTTTGACTTCTTCCTTTCCAATTTAGATGCCTTTTATTTATTTATTATCACTTGCCTAATTGCCTGGATGTGGACTTCCGGTACTATATTGAATAGTAGTGTCAAAAGTGGACATCCTTGTCTTGTTCCAGATGTTAGAGGAAAAGCTTTCAACTTTTCCCCATTCAGCATGATATTAGCTGTGGGTTTACCATATATGATAATGATATAATATCATATATTTATGGTGTTAAGGTACATTCCTTCTATACCTAATTTTTGAGAGCTTTTTTTTATCATGAAGATATTTTTAATTTTCTCAAATGCTTTTTGTGTATCTATTTAATGTTCAGTGGCTTTTGTCCTTTGTTCTGTTAATGTGATGTATCATATTTATTGATTGGCATATGTTCATCCCCTGCATCTTTGGGATGAATCGTAACTTCATCATGGTGAACGATCTTTTAAACGTGCTGTGGAATTTGGTTTGCTAGTATTTCGTTGAGGATTTTTGCATCTATGTTCCTCAAGGAAACTGGCCTTTAGTTCTCTTTTTTTATTTTATCTTTGTCTGGTTTTAGTATTAAGGTAATACTGACCTTGTAGAATAAATTTGAGAATTATCTTCTCTTTAATTTTTAATTTGAGAATAATTGATGTTATTTCTTCTTTAATCATTGGGTATAATTCTACAGTGAAGCCATCAGGTCTTGGGCTTTTCTTTGGTAACTCTTCATAATCTTGGTAGGTTGCAAATGTCCAGGAATGTATGTATTTCTTCTAAGTTACTCAATTCATTGGCATATAATTGTTCATAATAGTCTCTTATGATGCTTTATATTTTGTGATAAGTTTAATGTCTCCTTTTTCATCTCTGATTTTATTTACTTGAATCTTCTCTTTTTTATTCATCTAGCTAAGATTTGTCAATTTTGTTTATCTTCTCAAATACAAAGTCTTCATTTTGTTGAGCTTTTCTGTTGATTTTCTAGACTCTATTTCATTTCTTTTTGCTCTAATCTTTATTATTTATTTTCTTCTACTAATTTTAGGGTTAAGTTTGTTCTTATTTTTATTTCATTAGGTGTAATGTAAGGTTGCTGGGATTTTTATTTTTTATTTTTTGATGTAGGTGTTTATTGCTATAAGCATCCCCCTTTGTACTGCTTTTTCTGTATCCCATCGTTTTTGGTATAGTGTGTTTTCATTTTCATCTGTTTCAAGAAAAGTTTTAATTTCCCTTTAAAATTTTTAATTGATCCTTTGTTATTCAGAAACATACTGTTTAATTTTTATGTATCTATGAATTTTCCAAAGTTTTTTCTGTTATTGATTTCTAGTTGTATACCATTGTGGTCAGAAAAAAGATGTTTCATATGATTACAATCTTCTTAAATTGTTAGGATTTGTTTTGTAACCTAACATATAATTTTTTCTGGGGAGTGGCCCATGTGTAATTGGAATAGTGTGTATTCCATAGCTGCTGGATAGAATGTTCTGTGTCCTAATATGTCTATTAGGTCTATTTGGTTAGAGTATGGTTTAAGTCTCATGTTTTCCCATTGATTTTCTGTCTGGATAATATATCCATTGCTGAAAGTGTGGTATTGAGGTCTACTGCTATCATTGTATTGCAATCTATCTCTCCCAGTAGATTGATTAATATTTGCTTTATATATTTAGGTGCTCAGATGTTGGGTACATATATATTTATGATTCTTATAACCTCTTGCTTAATTGACCTCTTTATTATTATATAATTACCTTCTTTCTTTCTATAGTTTTTGACATAAAGTCTAGTTTACCTGATATAAGTATAGCCACTCCTGTCCTTTTTTTGGGTTTCATTTGCATGGAATATGTTTTCCCATTTCTTCATTTTCAGTGTATATGGGTCCTTCTAGATGAAGTGAATCTATTGTAGGCAGCATATAGTTGGGTGTTTTTTTTTAATGCATTCAGTCACTCTGTTTTTTTGATTGAACAATTTAATTCATTTACATTCAAGGTAATTATTGGTAGGTAAGGATTTACTAATGGCATTTTGTTAACTGCTTTGTAGTTGTTTGATAGATCTTTTTTTTAAATTCCTTTCTTACTGTCTTTGTGATTAAGTGATTTTCTTCAGTAGTATATTTTTTATTTCTTATTTTTTTTTGTGTGTGTGTTCCAATTATAAATTTTTGTTTTGTGGTTACCACAAAGCTTACAGAAACATTTGTATAATTATAACAGGATATTTTACACTGTTAACAACTTTTTTTATTAAAAGAAAAACACTCTATACTTATATTTCACTCTCCCCCATACATTTTGGATATCATGTCACAATTTACATCTTTTAATACTGTACATCCCTTAACAAATTATTTTAATAATTAATATTTTAATAGTTTTATCTTTTAAACTTAATACTGAAGATATAATTGTTTTACACATTCTCATTACATACTAGAGTATTATAAATTTGACTGTGCTTTTATTAGTGAGTTTTATACTTCCACATGGTTTAATGTTACTCATGAGTGTTCTTTTCTCAGATTGAAGAACTCCCTTCAGTATTTCTTGTATGGCAGTTCTGGTGGCAATTAACTCCCTCAGCTTTTGTTTGTCTGGAAAGTCTTTATCTGTCCTTCATTCCTAAAAGATAGCTTTGCTGAGTACAGCATTCTTGGTTGCCAGTTGTTTCCTTTAGCACTTTAACTATATCATCTCATTCTCTTTTGGCCCATAAGGTTTTTGCTGAGAAATCTGCTACTAGGTGTATTAGAACTCTGTCACATATTAGTTGTTTCTTTTCTCTGGCTGCTTTCAAGATTTCATCTTTAATATTTGATAATTTTATTATAATATGTTTTGAGGCAATGTTATTTGGATAGAAATTGTTTGGGGACTCTTGAACTTCCTATATCTAGATCTTTCTTTCTTGCTTCAGGTTTAGAATGTTTTCTGCTGTTTCTTTAAATAAGATTTCTACTCCTTTGTCTTTCACTACTTCCTCTTGAACTCCAATGACTCTAACATTTGCTCTTTTTATGTTGTCCTATTAATCCCATAACCTTTCTTCATTCCTTTTCATTCTTTTCTCTTTTTTCTCCCTCACTGTATAGTCTCAAATAACTGTCTTTCAGTTCACAAATTCTTTTTTCTGTTTGATTAGTTCTGTTGTTGATGCTTTCTACTGCATTTTTCGTTTGTGTATTACATTTTTATCTTCAAGATTGATTTTTAAAATTACTATTTTAATATCTCTGTTACATTTCTTATTTTTGCCATTTATTCTTTTCTCATTTCATTGAACTGTTTCTATTTATTATCTTGAAGTTTGCTGTGCTTCCTTAAAAAAGCTACTTTGAATTCTTTTTCAGGTAGTTCATATAGATCTGTCTCTTTAGGGCTGGTCATTGGTACTTTATTTTGTCCATTCAGTGACATCAGGTTTCTCTGATTGTTCCTGATTCTTGGATTTGTGTTTCAATGTCTGTGCATTAAAGAAGTGGGTGTATATTACAGTCCTTTTAGTCTGGCTTTGTCTAGGAATGCTCTAGACATGTCTAGGACAAACAATAAGTTTGTCCAGAGATAGTAGGCAGATAGTATGGCATGATCCCTAAGCCTGTGATCAGTGAAGTTGTTCCAGCACTAGGGGGCACACTAAGCCCAGGACCTTCATTGTTGGCACAGTGCTAGGCTGGAATCCTGTGACCACTGAGGCTGATGCAGCACTGTGGTGTACTTGAAGACCCTTCCACTGAGGCCCACTCTCTGTTCTGCTTTGTTTGAAACACAAAGCTGCTATAGCTGGCTGGCAGTGATTTAGCCAGAAATTGAGTCAGTTTTGCAGAGGTCATGGGTTTCCCATTAACATGGAGTAGGTCAGGAAGCTCAGTCCATGGGTTTTGCCTGGAGTCACTGAATTCAAGGGCTGTGGGAGCCTGCCCAGATCTGGGTTTTACTGTGGTGGGCCCAGTGTGGGAGATCAAGGCAAAGTTCTTGGTCCCTCACTTTCCTTTAAGTGAATAGTAGGGAAAAGTTACCTCACTTTCACCTAAGTGAATAGTACCCCTCTCCTCAGTGTGCTGCTCAGGATTGGGGGATGAGTGACATGGGTAATATAAAACTGTCCATCTTACTCTCTTTAATGTTTAATGTGTCTTTTAACATTATTATGCCATAATCAAGTACTGTTATCTCTCACCTAGTTTTCTTAGCTCTTGTGAAGATACTTTTGTGCACATGTAGTTGTTCAAATTGATGTTTCTGTAGGGGGATGATTAAAGGAGGGTACTATTCTGT